GGTAACTTCCATGGCATTTTGCTTCATATGTAGCAGCAGAATTAACTTGGCATGACTGAAACAGTTGACTGAATTCTTGTTCAAGGGATGGCAGCTCCTGGGAAAGAAAAAGAATGGGCAATTCTGAATGGTGGCTGTTTGACCATGCCAGATCACGTGAATGTGGTACCTCAGTCAAGAGGCATAGTATTTCAGAGGTGATGCTCTATAGTAAACTAGTACAAAATGCTTCCACTTCTATGGAGAATTAGCTGTTATAAGACACAGTAATTTGCTTTATTTGAACTACTTTGCTCAAAAGTAATTTCTGCAAAGGGCAAGGGTAGTGTGGTACCTTTCAGAACAAGAAGTACTATGGATATTATGTTTTCATGTGCTTTGTGTCCTCGTCTTTGTACTTTGAAACATTACCCTGTAAGTATTTCAGTTAGTGTATTTTAGACAAGAATTCTGTTTTTTGTTTTTAATAGTTTCAAGTTGGGAAATATTTTACAAATGATAGTAAAGTTGATGTTGAATATTGCATCAAAATCCAATTAGCAGTTCACATCTAAGATGTTTTTTTTGAGAAGCTTATAGCCCTTGTCAGTGCCTCGTATGGGAGAGAATCCTTTACCCACAACATTGTTTCATTTTTAATCTAAATAATGACATACTGATCTATTAAAACTTCATATGTGCTTGTCATGACCCAGACTGGACAGACCAGGGAGTCCTGTTTAATTCGAAATTCCCTCGGGCTAAATTAAGGTGAAACGACACCAAATGGTCAGTTAAAGATTTTATTTATGACAGAAGCAAACTGAACTGGGGAGGTGTGGTAGTAGGTGGCAGGGTTTCTCACAACAGGGATTGGCATAAGACTACTTCTGTAAACCATGTAACCCAGAGTAAGCATTCGGGGAATAAGGAGAACCCTCCCGTCGAGTCACGAGGTTCAGAGCAGACCCCCTTGCTTTCCAGACTTCTCCTCAGAGAAGGGTCTAGGGGCAGCTGGATCTACTCTTAGTCTCAGACTTGGTCAACAGTTTGTATCTTGAAACAGATGAGGTGTAGGGATTGTGGAAAAGGAAAGAGAGAAGAAGAGAGAGAGAAAAAGGAAGAGAGAAAGATTTCAGCAGTCCTGGGTCCAGCCGAGGGGTCCAGTTGCGGTGGGCTTGTGCAACCGGGGCTTCAGTTGGTGTCCTTTTATCATCCTTGCTCCTCCTTCGGGCAGGCACCCGAACTGGTCAGGTTAATGAGCAGTTTGTGAGCCTTTGGGCATGGGGGTCGTTTGTGGAGTAACTTCTCCTTCCCTGCAGACATGGTTATTGTTTGATCTTTGTATCAGAACAGCTTATCAGAAGAGGGACCTGCGCACCCTCCAGCACGCCCTCCTCCTCCTGTTGCTGGTGTCTGAGCTGATGGGCTTTTCACCTTGGCTCCTTGCTGTGCAGGCTTTGTCTTAAAGCAGAACTTGCCCCACCACAATGTTTGAGACATTAACTCTTTCAGTCTCTCACAGTGCTATGTTGTTATAAGCACTGATACATTGTATAATGTAAACATATGTTTCTTAGTGAAATCTAGCACCTGTTTACACTCAGGCATGTCCACATACCTGTTTCTAATAAGTGTGTCTGGTTTCAGGGAAAAAAAAAATCAAGGTAATTCTGTGCTTTGCCTAAAGGTATTGACTGTTCTGTAAGGAAGTTAATTTTGATTGACCTGTGACTATTAATTTTTTTTTTCTCCCCTTAATAAAACTGGAATGATCCACTTCTAGCTTTCCACAGGGTCTTGTCTGACATGATCTGGGAACTTAATCCACTTTTAGGTCCCATTTTCCTGATATCCCATTGACATTTCGTAGTCAAATCGAAGATTGAGATCTGGCAGGGACATTTTGGATCACAAGTCCAGCCAAATACTGCCTTCACCAGCAGAGCAGGCTCCTTTAAATTAAGCTAGCAGTATTCCTACTTTCTCTGATGTTGCAAGACATTTGGTGTACTACTTGAAGCTCTAATGTTTATTTTTCTAATTTCCACTGTGATTTTATTTATGTTCTGATAATGTTCACTTGTATTTTTGGACAACACTGTTCTTTAAATGAAAATTCTTTCCTGTTTCTGATGTTTAACATGGCTGCTCTAGAGACTTAATGTCAACTCCTTTCAGGGTTTTGTTTTGATAAGTTAAAAACAAGTCAATTTCAGAAAATAGATGAATGGCAGGAGTCTGAGGCTGAGCAATCTAGCATCTCACTGCTGCAGGGAAAGGAAAGAAAAACAACTTTTATCTTCTGCTAGTAGTGACCTATTAAGTTGGCTTGGTCATTTCATGAAACCCCTCTGCTAAGGATTTGAAAAAATTAGGGCTTTTTGAGTAACCATTGTAATTTTTCCACAATTATCAGCATTCACCATCTCTCCTTTGCCATTCGGTTAAGGAGAAGGTATAGAAGTGTTTGGAGGTTGGTTGTTGTAATAATGGAAGTCTTAATGCTCTTGCTTTCCTCTTTGGAATTTTTTCTTCTGCCTTGTGCTTCTTTGCTAATCATTGGTATTTTTAGAGAAAATACACTTGTATTGCTTCTACTTTTGTAATTTCTATTACTTCAAAAGCATGATTTCTCTCATGTAGTAGAACTTGATCCTGTATGGTCTCAACAAAGAAGGGTTGAATCGAGTGGATAAAGATTTTTTTTTTTTTTATTTTATTTTTTAAGTACAAAAATAAATCAGGGTTATAACTTCAAAGATCTCTGTCTGACATTTCATCAGTTACTGGCTAAAAGAAACTGTGCATCTTCAGTGTCCGCCTGTATGTGTGTGGTTGGATGTGGGTTTGTTGCTGTTTTGGAGTTTGGAGGCAGGGGTGGGGATGGTGTGTTGTAGGGCAGGCTGTGACTGGGTAAAGTGCAATGGGTGATGGAAGTGTAAAGCTGCAAGTTGTTGCTTCTAAGTTAGTAAGGGAACTTAGCTTGTCTCCTGAGGAATCTTGGTGTTGGCAGAACAACTTGGCACAGGGAAGAGAAGAGCAAATAAATCCTTCCTCTTTCAGCACAAGTCAGTTATGTGAATTCAGTTGCCCCATTGAACCACTTCTTTACTGGCAAAACTCTGCTGTATTGCTATACAGTGAGTCTGCAGAAGACAGAGTAGACTGATGTATAGCTCACTTCCAAAAGAGAGAGATCCTGTCCTTATTTCCTCCCCTCTTTTGCACTGCCTCTAGTGTTCCTTGAGGCCCTGCCTGAATTGGGGTCAGTAATCCAGTACAAGTCTAACCCTGCAAAGGAGGAGAAAAAAGTGGTCAATTTTCTACTGATGTGAGTATCAGAACCAAAGGAAGGAAGGGGATATGGAGCCTTCCCCAGCATTTGGGAGACAGGGAAGAGTAAGATATTCCTGTTGTTAGATGTTAAGCTGTCCTATTTGACCATGCTTAGAGACTGTTTTTTGCTGGATAGACAAAAAATTAAGTCTTCCTGTAAGACACGCACACGAGTTGGGTGGGCAGGAAACGAATGGGTTAAGCATTACAAGAGCTGTTAACTGATGGATTATTTCAAGCAGTTTCTTTGTAGTTTATCCTGTAGACTTTATAACTTTGTAATATTGCAGGACTCTTCTGTGAAGGGCATGGATTTTTGTGGTAGCCTGAAATCATACTTGCATGTAACTTAGTGTATGACAACCAACCCTTTTATCAGGTACTGCCTTGGTGTAGTGTTCACGTGCTTATAGACAAATGGGTTACTTGCAGCAATCTACTGGATTACTATGTATAAATGACTTGCCAAGAAGACGACTACTTTTGACTTAAGCTGTAGTATGTAGATCTTAGAATTCTGTTAAAAAAAATACCTAAGGAAATGTCTTCTATTTAAATATACTTCACTAACAGGAATAGTTTTTTCCAGGTTTAAAACGATTACATGTTTAGAAGGTTTTTCTGTGCCTTTAATGACATGACAAGCTTTCCCTGTAAACTAGTAACAACTATGTATGTACTCCAGAGTATAGTAGTAGTGTGTGAAAGTGAATAGGGTTCCAAAATGTTGGGATGCATCTTATGGACACAGTAAACCCTGCTGGAAAAAAGTTATATGACTTCAGCTTTAGTTTTAACTAGCAATAAAATGCATGGAATACCTAAAGTGCCTCAGAATTGGTTGAGACTACAAAGGTGAAACTGGAGTGAAGCTTTATTTAAGTATGTTTGTAATGTAAGCCCATGTTAGCTCTGGGGTTTGGAGGTGCTGGATGAGCAGTTAACTCTGCAGTCCAGAGAACAGGTGGATATTATGTATGCTCCCGATTTCTTTAATACCTTCTAGTAGGGATCTGCAAGCATGGATACAGCACAATCTTGCTAGAACACATCCCTGCTGGCTAAGTAATAGGTTCTGTTTTTTTAAACTGAGTGCAAATTAATAATACAGAGACTGAATAATGTCTTGTGTTCCTGTTTGAAGTCTTGCTTGCTGGGGAAGCTTAATCTGTTTAGTAGCAAAACCACATTTTCTTGTTTCATAATGAGTTAGCAGTAGTGAATTGCTGTATTGACACCCCAGTATATAAGCTGAAACTCTTTAGCTGACAAAAAAATGCTTTTGGCAGGTGTGTTAAATAGGAAGTATGGAAAAAAGCTTTTGAGGCACTGAGAGTTTCTGCTATTAGTGAATAATGTAGTGTTAAAGTGCAATAAAAAAAACTGGTGAAGGGAAAAGTTCCTTGGAAAAGAGTTTGGGGACATGTTACTGTATGCAAATAGGCAGAAGAAAATTAGGTAGCTTTGTAGTGGTTCTAAGTGAGACGAAAAAGGCTGGAACATTTTTAGACAGGATCAGTCTTTAAACTGAAAATACTAAATAAAACTTTTATTTCTAGATTTTATCGCCTTGAACTCAACAGGGTCAGGAAAATAACTATTTCTGTCTGATCTAGGTTTTCTGGATAATCTCTTCACATTTCTGTGGTGGACTGATTTTTTTCTATAATTGTTTTCTTCAGAAATACCGCTACCAGGATGAAGATACACCTCCACAGGAGCACAGCTCTCCACACATTACCAATGAGGTCACAGGTCCAGAGCTGGTTCATGTATCAGAGAAGAATCTGTCACAGATTGAGAATGTCCATGGATTTGTTTCCCATTCTCATATTTCACCAGTAAAGGTAGGCATTTTTAAAGTTATAATAAGAGTGAACTGTTTTGATATGCTCTCCAGGGATAAAATTTTCTGGGGAAAAAAATGCATGAGATATACCTGCTTATGTTTTTTTTAATGGAACTGCTCATTTGTAAAATTAACTTTGTAGATGTTAAGGCATTGACTCTAGTTCCATATGTTCTGACTAAATGTGCATGATAGTAAATTGCCCAGATAAAATATGTAGGTAACTTAAGATCTCAGGTGTAGTTTTGAGAGGCACTATAGTTACTGCTGTTAGTTATGTTTTGGGTTTTCTATCAGGATCCTGTAAAATCAATTCTGAGTTTGTTTCTGGTAAATATTTTAATTGAGGACCTATGTGGAAAATGTAATAAGCCAAGCGTAATATATGTGTCTCTGGAGTTTTTCAGCATACAGCACCATTATTCTCAAGACAGCTCCAGTAACTTCAAGACAGATTTAAAACTGGACAAACTGCGTATGAGGTTTTGGAGAGGGTTGTATCAGGCAGTTTCATCTATTGGGTTAGTAGGGAGATGTAGCTTAATCATCTTCTGGATAGCGTAATATTTTAGTGTGCCAGACTAAATGCTGTTTTCTATAACGTCTCTGAGTCTTTATGGCTTGTTTTGAGGGAAAAGTGGAGAAATTATTTGATTCTGGTGAGTATTTGGGCTCTAGAACGATGAGATGGGCTTACATTGTGGTAGGCCTATAGCTTGGTATTTTTAGCATGAATTGTTGGTGTGTGGTAGTATCCTTTGTGACTGAAACTGGCAGTGTACTGTAAGAAGTGCTGCTACATTTTAAGAAAAAAGTTGTTTTGAACCTAGTTACGTTTCCAGATTTTTTTTTAAATGAAAAATCTTGCTGAATGTATCAGCTCTTGATAATTGACTTGTGAGGATTCTGTAGAACCAATGGTAGTGGGAGAGTGTGTTTAGTAATCATGTTCCAGCTTTTCTAAGACTTTAAAAATGTGTATGTTGGTATCACACACAGTCATTTATTTTTACTTGTAACTCCATAATGAACTCTCTGTGTGTTTCCATAGTCTTCAGGAGCTAGACAAGCCAAATTCTTTAAGACCTAATGAATAACCCTTTTGAAGTGGGCTATATTAACCTCTGAAGAGTCTTTTAAGAATGCTAATATGACAAACCTTTCATTTTAAGAACGGCTAGGACCTCAGTCTTATGTTGTTTTTGAAGACAGACGCACAGTAACACATTTTCACATGTTAATTCCCTGAATTTATTGATATTCAGAAAGTAATACAACCCTTCTGCGTGCAACCATTAGAAATTAAAAAAAATCCTCTGCTTCTGGGGACTTAAGGTCAACTCTGTTCATTCACAAGCTTTTCCTAATTCATAGCACAATCTTGCATTTCAGAAAGCATACAGGGATCAAAAAGGCAGAGGCAAACTGTAAAAATTTCTGCAATAAGTGATCAAGTATAATGCATTTCACAATCTGGAAGCTTATAGAAATAAAAAATAAAATTCTAGAATGGGTATGTGAGACTGAAAATCTTTCTTGTAACTGGCTAGGTGTTATTTCATTGTACTTGACACTGTTCAAAAGGCCGTAATTACCTTGGTTTCTTTCTGGCTGCCTGGATCTAAGGGAAACCAAACTACTCAGAATAGTTCCTGTGGTTGACTTTATTTCAGATTATTTTTGTAGATAGCCAACTACAGAAATAGAGAAGTGTGGATTTGATATTGGCAATATTAACATTTCCTGGAAGATGACTTGATTTCTTACCTCTCCACAGTGTGAGTGATCTCTACCTTACAGAGATCCTACCAGACCATCTCTATAAACAAGCAAGGCTTGTGTTTAGAGTGTTATATGGGACCCTTAATTACCTGTTTTAATTGAGCCTTATTTAACTACCATAACTTTCTGTCAAGACCCTGATGTAAAACCCAGAGCAGTTTTACAGAAATAGATATGAATGATTGTACTCTGCCTTCCTCTGCTCAGATGTGATCCAAGCTAAAAATTTTTTTTGTTTTCTTGGGCAGTGTTGAATATTCAACTCTGCTGCACTGTTCTGGAAGAAAGAAACTACATCTCATTTAAACTATTCTGGAAATAGAGATAAGCAGCTTTTATAAGTATAATTACAAAATATGGTGAAGCCTTTTCAAAATACTGTTTATCTTGGGTCTCTGAGGAGGATTGCTATTATCCTTCTCAAATTGGTAAGTGCTTGGCAATCATCACTTGGAAGTATGTGTATAAGAGAAATATCATCGTGCAACTCATATTGCATTTATAACATACATCTGATTATTTTCAGGTGACTACTCTCTCTGTTGATTTCAAAGCAATGTATAGTAGAACTGAAATTTCTCTTCTCTGTTCATCTGAAAACTGGGGTGGGTGCTCCAGGTTTCAGTTGTTTACCAGCGTTTTGTGGAACTTTGAATTCTGATGCTAAGTTGGCTGCTGGCTTGCTTCTCTTCTTCAGAAGTTAACTTCTTTGCATAAATGGTTTATAATCAGAGTCTGGGGTCTTAAGGTATTTGGAGAAGAGGGATGCATCCATAGGTTCACAGGCTCTGGGAGTCTTTATGGGAACTTTTACAGTAAAATGCTTTTGAGCTCACAAAATTTCTTTTCGGTCAGGAGATAGTTTGCTAAGTTTTTGGAATAAATGCTGTTAAAACTTGAACTTGAGTATGTCAGAAAAAAGCCAAGGTTGCTTTTGTATTATTAGCATAGCTGGTCCTTTCTTCTTTTGGCCTGATGATCTGCAAGACGTTAATAGTTTAGGCATAGCTCATGCTGATGATCAATTTAGCAACAACAGCTTTGAGCTGAGTGCTTTGTGTAATTTATTTGGTAGTTTGACTTGATGCACTGTGTACGGACGAGGTTGTGGCTAATATACAAGATCTTGACTATTGTTTGATAGTACATTTGCTTAAGGAAATTAAACGTAATAGAGGATGTTGTTTCTTACACTAATAATAAGAGAATTTTTTTTTTAAATTAAATGTTAAATACACTTGAACTTTCAAATACAGAGTTATTAGTTTGAAGAACAAATGTAGAGAGTAGTTTTATGATTATATACTCCTTTTTATGAAATGCTGCAGAGGGCAGTAGAATCAGATTAGAGGAATACCTTCTTTTACAGCAAGCCCTCTGCAGTCTGGACCAGTAACACAGAACATGAATAGAAGATAGTGAAGAGAGAAGATGCCTGGTTTTAACTAGTTTACATTTTGTTCTTGAGAGAAGCTTTCAAATTTTCTAGGGCTTAAAGCAGCTTTTACAGCTTGCTTGGACAGGTGAGTAGTTTTCAAAGAGCAGCTTTCAATGACCGAGAAGATAAATGTGTATCCCAAATTTTTAGAGGATGAGCGTGTGACTACTATTTATCAAATGTTCCATATGAAGTACTGTAGTAGTTTACGTTCTTGACAGAGGAGTGGGCTACTTCAGATTCAGGTTGGGTTAAGATACTGCATGTTTGCAGTTAGCATGAAACAACTGATACTAGCTGTACTGATTTAAAGTTTAAATGTTAGACAGGGCTTACAGGTTTTGTCTTGTTAGGGTGGAGCTTTGTCAGTTTAACAAGAAATGTATACTTCATATGTCTCGAGCATCAAAGAAGTAAACTTGACCCAGGAGATTTCATGTCCCCTGTTCCCCATTTAATACTGTGTGAAGTGAAACTCTTAATTCTGTAAAAGAGCTGCCTTTTTTTTTTTTAAATGTTTAATGGTAGAGAATCATGAAGAGAGAGTGAAAATGGTCAAACTTCAAATCCTTACAAATATTCTGTCCCAAATTTTCAGGCAGGTAGGCAGCTAGTACCAGAATTTCTTCAGTATGAGGTTTCCAGATTCCTTAGAGAAACTTGTCATTACAATGCGAGGTTTCTTGAGTTATGAAATAAAATGGGTTCAAGTTGAATTGACTTTGTAACTGAAGCAATATATTGCTACCAAGACTGACCACTAGAGGGAGATGCTACAAAAGGATTTATCTCAATTGTAAAACTGAATTTAGCTTCTCTCTTATAGCTTCAGATTGACTTTTTTGAATTTAACGTTTGTTTTTATTAAATAGCTCCAACCAAGTGAATTCTGTCATAGGTATGATACCAATCAAGTTTTTAAATTGTGGAGCGGAACTTGAGTTTTCTGTCAATGAAAAAAGCTTTGAGTAATTATTACAAGGCTTTAAAATAATGGGTCATGATGTAATAAGACAACCAGCCCCCTCTTAAATTGCAGTGTTCTTCATTGCAAGCAACCTGTGCATGAAAGGGAAAATATTTCATTTTATAGCTCTGCATTTATGATGTAACATGACAATTCAATATTTAAGTGTAGACCATGATTGGAGCTTGTATATATTTCTGTATTATGTTTGTGTATTGTATGTTGGTATTTGGGGCTATTATTTCACTGGTAATACAGAAGGTCCAAAGAAAACATGCAAAAATTTGTAAACTAAATATGTCTTGTATTGGAAAGATACTCCATGACTAGTGTGATAAATGTTAATATTTATCCTGCTCTGTAATAAATACTTAATATTACAGTATTCATCGCAGTGCCATTATATCCACAATTCTGATTCAAAATTTGTGCAAGGCTGTTCTTAGAGAGTTATCCAAGTATTTGATAAGTTTATAAATGATATTATGGTGTGGCTGCCTGCAGTAACAGGAAGCTAGACTTACTGATTCAGAAAAGTCTCTTCAGTTGTTTTTTCTTTAACCAAACCTTTGCTGATCTGTCTCTGGAGGTTTTTACCAAACACCAATCTTCAAAGGGTGAGAAGAATGCTTGCACTTGGTTTGTTCCTTACACACGTAGCAGACATTGACAGCTGAACATAAATGTTTTATTTGGAACATTGTACTAGCATTATTAGTCTAGTAAAGTATCTAAAACTGCTTATTCATGCTATACAGTAAAATTTTAATTGCTGACTGAATAGCACAGCCATAAGGAACTGAAAGTATTC